CTCAGCTGGCTGGCAGGCAGCCCGTGGAGCAGCCAGGGAGAGTCATCCCAGCCCCAGAGAGCGTCACCAGCAAATGGCTTCATGCTCACATGCCCGCAGCTGCAGGCACTGGCTGCCCTGCTTTCCAGAGCGCTGTGACAGAGGGGATTTGGCCACAGCCATGGTAGAAGGGAGGCATGTTCTTCCTCCCTGGCAGGGGCACTTCTTCTTGTGGCTCACAGACACCGTGTTAAACTTCCATCTGGGAGTGAGCCTCGCAGGGCTTTGCTCTGTCACTGCAAAACAACCTCAGAGGAGCTGTGCAAAACTGTCCCATCTGGAGAAGGATCTCTGGGTCACTGAAATGAGAGACTGACATAAGGAATATAATCCGTGGACGCTAGGGAGAGAAGCCTGGCTTGGGGCCAGGCTGCTGCAAGCTCTGCCTTGGTAGCTGCAGCAGGGACACAAGCACATCAGCAAAAGGGTAGAGGATCAGCCCACTTCAGCTAATATTTGGGATGTTACTGTAAGCATCTCTGAGATCCCCAAACACAAACTTTTTCTTGGAACTAAGGAGAATCTGGCAATCCCACATTTCCAGCATTTCTGGGTGTGCTTATTTTTTTTAAGCAAAGTGAGAAGTGAAAATAGTCCTTACTGTCTTTTGAAATATACTATAGCTATGTAAGAATGCAAATCTTTCAAGGCCATATCTCTCCTCACCCTGCCAAATGAAACACAATATAAAACTCCATTGTTTTACTCTTATGTTTCCTGTGCCTTAAGGCTTGAACCATGGATCCTCTTGGCTGAGGTCCATCCCAGAAACGATTTAATTTGGGAACATGCTTCACCTTTCTAAAAATAAGGAAAACTGAGAAGAAGAGCAAATAAGCTGTGTTGAATAAAGATCTAAAATGACTTCTCCAGGATCTCAAATTAAAGAAAATATGTTACCCAGGGAATGTATAAAATCAAATAATATAAGCCTGCCTCTATGCAGCAAACTCTTTCGTGGCATTTTAGCCCTGTTTTATAGTCTGGACCTTTTCCAAAGAGAGAGCAACAAATCATCAGTCATATCTTTCTTTTTTTTCCCCTCAGACACTTACTAAGAACCAGGCGCACACACAAAAATAAAAGAATGTAGAAAACATCTACCCACTTCTGTTTGCTTCGCAGTGTTTTTAAAGCATTTGACTCAAACTGTTACCCAAAAGTGAAACGTCAGAGTCCTGCAAAACCAACCAGGCAGATTTTCCAAAATGGGGCAGAAATAAATCAGAGGACCCGTGACTTAATGAGACAAGATGTGCAATAGGTGCCTTTACCTGGAAAAAGAAGAGAAGCAGCAGGATAAGCTGTGCCCTTCTCAGGTTGTAGGTCTGTACATAGTGGGGGTAAAGCTCAGTGGCAGAGCATTTGACTGCAGATCAAGAGGTCCCCCGTTCAAATCCAGGTGCCCCCTTTGCTAGCTGAGATTAGCTCAGCTGGTTAGAGTGAGGTGCCAATAACACCAAGGTCATGTGTTCAATGCCTGTACAGGCCATTCCCTTAAGAGTTGGATGCAGATCCCTTCCAACTCAGACTAATCTGTGAAACGGGACCAAACCCCACATGACACTGGGAGTCCAGATAACCCCTTACACAAACCAAAGTCCCATGTTCATACTGGGAGAACCTCACTGCAGCATGTGGAGGAGCATAAGAAAGCCTGAGGTGGTACCACCAGCTGCAAGCCCTCTGATCTCTGCGGACACACTGCAGAAGGCCCATGAGACTGTCAGAGGGATGCAGAATTGCAAGGATAATAGCACTCACAAAAGCAGGGTCTCTAAATGGCTCTTTAAATCTCCTGCAACATGCAGCTGGTGCAAAGTGAAAAATGGAGTTGGGATTTTATTAGTCAGGGTAAGGAGAAAAATCCCCAACAAACCCAGCCACGGGAAAATTTGGCTCAAGAAACGCGAGTTGTGCTGAGAATGAGGGTGGGCACAGACCAGTAGTAAAAATACTACAGCAGCAATTTCAATTTGTTAGGTAATAATACTGAGCCTCCTCAGTGACTCTGTGCAGCCCCTTGCAGGGGCAGCAGCTCTGCATCTCACAGACTACTCGCTGCTGGCAGTGTTTGAGCACCTTGGGCTGCAGGGCTGGAATCTGGGGAACTGAAAAGACCCACTTCAGCTGCAGAAGGCTGGGACTTCTCCCTTCTTCACTCTGTCTAAAACATACCCTGAGCATGGCTCCCCAGGGTGGATAGTTATCGTCTGTACTAAACTCTAGGTCTCGGCTGTAAATCAGGAATGCTTCTTGAAAGGTGGCTGCGTACCAGCGGTCTCTCCTCCCTCACCATCCATCTTCCTTTCCACATGCACTCAGCATCAAAGCTGCTGGGGGTTCAGGGAATGAAGCCATGCGGCCACCCTTGGCCCTCTGCCCCTCCTGGCTTGTTGCAGCTGGAGAGCAGGAGACCAAATGCCATTAATCCTTGCGATTTCTCGAGAAAAGTGGAGAAATAGGGCTGCAATGAAAGAGAAAACTGCTGAAGAGGGTGAGACTGCCAAAAGGCCTCCTGCAAGGTCCATTTACTAAAAGATATTAAGGATATTAAGCCCAAGCTCAGATGGCATTGGTGGGTCACTACCCATCTTCCCTCTTGCATTTTAGAACTGTTTTTTGTCTCCTCTAGGAGGCCAGCCTTCTATTTCCAAGCACAATTTGTTTTCCGTCCCTACAGAGCCTCTCCAAGATGCCATTTGCATCTCTGAGGGTCACATTCACCTCCCTCCTGTCTCCCTGACTGATAATGGTCCTGCCCTTGCAAAAAGGGTGATGGGAAACCCTGAGCATAGCACTTGACTCCCAGAAGCAGAGGCTGCAAGCCAGGCTCAGAGCCAGCCATTTGCTGCTTTTGGTGGCCATTAAAGCCTGTGGCAGTGGCTGCTTGAGTGGCAGGACTGGCTGCAATCATGAGAAAACTGTCAGAGGAATAGTAACTCTGGAGACTCCCAAGGAGGCGAGGTCTGGGGGAATGTCTCAGCCTTATCCCAGGTACCAGCATGGGTTATTGTGCCCTGTCACACATGCTGCCTTTGATATTTCACAAACTCACTCAGTCATTTGGAGAAACAAAGGTGGTTACTGTTCTCCAGGAGCACAGCTGAGGTGTGCTCCCCCCTCTCTGCTTGCACCTTGCCCCCGCGGGGCAAGTAAATTCCCTTTCTTACAGTGACACAGCCTGGAATCAGAGAGGGAACCCCATTCCCAGTGGGTCCATGGGCAAAAAAGCCACCAGGCAACAGGGTTCTGAAGGCAATGGGGCGCTAGGGCCAGTATCCCATCAGGGCAGCACAAGTTTTGGGGGTGCTGGGTGTGTCCCCACTGGCGCAGCTGCATGTCAGCAGAAGAGCTGACTGGGTTGGGAAACACTGGAGAGAGTGGGGATGTTGCTTCATTGTCTCAAGGCATAGTTCAAGCTTACAACACCCACAGTGTCACCAGAGGTCTGGCGCTCTGACAGCAGCTGGGATGGCGATGGTCATGTGCTGCTCTGCTGGTGCACTCACCCTCCTCCATGCAAGGCAGAAGGTTGAACACTCATTCAGTGTAGGCTTGGGGAGTCCACATCAGGCAGTGGGCACAGAGAGTGACCTCTGTGGAGGGGCTGGGGTAGTTTTGTGTGGGTGGAGTTCACAACATGCACATACAACTGCTGGCAAGGGGCCCAGGAGCTGGCAGCCAGCCTGAGGGGGAAAAGAATGGAGAGAAGCACCAAAATAAGCACAAGCCAAGGGGGCCAGGCTGTGGAGGGGGCACTTGTGGAGGCCCACAGTCCTTGGCTGCAGGGCAGCAAGGAAGGGAGCAAGGAAAGTCCATCATTGAGCAGCCTGATCCAACAGATCCCATTTGTCATACATCAGGGGGTTGCCACGTGGAGCTGCTCCAGTTTTGATCCATACTTGAGAGTTTTGGAGACTGGGCTCCTCAGCACACCTGCCCAGAGGTGACAGAGCCCTGTTGTGCTGAGTGAAGTATTTCTGTGGATTAATGACCCAGGGAGGAAGCAGGAAGCCGGGAGGAAATATGAATGCTGCCTCTGAGGTCCTGGAATGCCCAGTATATGAACTGATGATCTGGAAAAGAGGGTGAGCATTATACCAAACATTTTTGAAGAATGACTCAAAACTATTGACCCTTGAGGAGATCAGAAGGGACTGCGTAAAATGCAAGTGTAGCAAATTGGCAACACCACACATTTGCCAACGTTTAACTGGGCACGTGCGAAGTCAGAAAACAAATTGGGTATAAGAATTACAAAGCTCCAGGTGTTCTCTAGCAACTCAAGAAAGACTCTGGATGCCACACAAACCCTGATTCTGTGAGTAGCTGCAGGTCAAAAAAAAAAAAAAAATAAAAAAAACCACCATAAAATATTAGCATGCAGAAGGAAGAAGGGGAGAATAATATGGAAAATATGATAATGCTATTATGTAAATCACTAGCGCGGCCTCTCTGGGAATACTGTCTGCAGTTCAAGTGAGCCTTTCTCAGAAAGGGCTGATGAGGGGCATGGCAGATTCGCTCACAGAGAGAGAGAGAGAGAGATCAAAACGACTGGGGTTGTTCATCTCGGAAAGGAAACGAGCAAGAGGAGATCGGCACAGAGGGAGCCAGCCCAGAGCTTCTGTTTTTTTAATTCCTGCCCAGTTCCATCACTATCTGGTGCCGCCGAGAAGTGGGGATTTGCACCCAGACAAAGGGGGGAAAAGGCGCCGATGCCGCCCGCCCTCCATTCCCTCCCCACCGCCAGAGGGAGGCAGCGCCGCGCGGCACGGGCGGCCCGGCCCCCGGCGGGGCTCGGGCTGCGATTGGCGCTGCGCGGGGCCGCGGCCCCGGGAAGCGGAAGGCCTTGCGGCGGCGCCGCCGTTCGTTAGAGGGGAGGCCTCGGCCCTTCCCGGGGCCCGGCACGGAGCCGGGAAGCGGCGCCGGGGGAAGGGAAGAGCTGACTGGGATTCTTCCCCCCTGCTCGGTCCCCTCCGCCGCAGGTCGCTCGCCCGCCCGCGCCGCACGGTTGCCCCGATGGCCGCGTGGTCCCGCGGGGCGGTGCTGGCGCTCTACCGGGCCCTGCTGCGCCGCGGCCGCGCCCTGCGCTACACCGACCGCGACTTCTACCTGGCCGCCGTCCGCCGGGAGTTCCGCCGAAACCAGGGGCTGCGGCGCCCGGAGGACAAGGAGAGGCAGCTGGAGAAGGGGCAGGCGTTCCTGCGGAGCGGGCTCGGCGGCCTGGTTTAGAGATTCCCCGTAGCAGCTCCCACTGACCCCCCACCCCCCCCCGCTTACTTCCCCCGCTTCCTTTCAAAACAACCTCGCCAAGCAGAAGAGATGCTTAACGTTCGCTGCACGCTGCTGTCCTGAAGAGGTCTGGAAGGTGCTTCCACGGGTGCACCAGGAGGGCTCTCCTGTTCTTTTCACAAATGCATTAGGTCACAGGTAGGTCATTTACAATGGTGTCACTGTGTTCTTCATGTGCTGTTGTTACAGCGAGCTTTGTGGAGGTGCGTTATCTTTTCTGCCTGGGGATCACGAGTGACTGTATTCCTGGTTCATCCAGGCAGGAACATTCCTCCTGAGACTGTAGCTTGGATTTAGGAAAGGGGCAGTTTTAAACCAGCCAAGTCAGGCAAGCAGGCAGGCTGAGAACCTTTGAAACTGACTCAGACCTCAAGTCATGTTGGAAGAGTTTCCTAGTGTTTTCATGTAGGTTCACTGGGAATCCACCTACAGGTGCAGTAGTGCCCAGGTGGGTTTTACAGAATCAGTTAAGCTGGGAAAGACCTCTGAGACGATCATCAAGTCCAACCCGTGCCTGCACACCACTACATCAACTAGACCATGGCACTCAGTGCCACATCCAGTCCTTCCTTAAACACCTCCAGGGATGGTGAGTCCGCCGCCTCCCTGGGCAGCCCATTCCATATGTCTGATCACCCTTCCTGATCACTCAGAAATTTATCATGATGTCCAGCCTGAACCTTCCTTGCTGCAGCTTGAGGCTGTGTTGGCCAGAGAGACTCCTTAAATTTCAATCTCAAGGTTAGGTGAAAGGCGATTCAAAGAACACAAAGGTACACGTGTAAGAAATTACTATTGTTAATATTACACATTACTTGTCTGAGAGTCAAACCCACCAACCTTAATGGCAGTAATAAATGTCCAGTGAAAGCAAGGGAGTTGTTCCCTTTATGGTGCGTTATGGTCTCTGCTGTTGTTTCTTGGGTGTTTTTGAAGTATCTGGGATCGGCCATTGTCCAGAAATTAATCTGAGACCACCTGTCATCTCTTGGGAAGATTCTTATTTGTGACAGACAAGCAGGTGACCATCCCTGTATCTCCCTGTCTGTGGGCAAAATTTCACTCAGAAAATTAGAAAACAAATTGGCCATGTTTTGGTTGAGAAGCCCAAACTAGAAGGAAAATATCTGAATGGTCATAGAGTGCTGCATAATATACAGGATTTTAGTACAGAATATTGAAAAAGTAAGCCCTACTTTCTTTTATTAAACCTGCTTCAGTGATTAGAAACCCCAGATCAAATTTGGATGTTTTCCTTAGGTAACGAATGTTGCTGGAAGCAAAGAAGTGCTGTCATTGCCGAACTTGGTCACTACTGTCCTGGCGTGGCTGGGAACAAGCAGCTCCTTGGGGGAACATAATTAAAGAGGGTGCGGGTTTAGGTGGTCCCTTCCCGTGGCTCTGTGCGGAGACCCTAAGAGCCGTGGGTCTGAGGTGGGGGAGACAGGAGTGAACCGTCAGGGTTGCGTGTTTTGACCTCTCTGTTTAACGTTCCTGCTCCCTGCAGGTAAGATGGCAGGCGCTGGGCAGCGCAAAGGGAAGAAGGATGACAACGGGATCGGCACGGCCATCGACTTCGTGCTGTCCAACGCCCGGCTGGTGCTGGGCGTGGGCGGAGCAGCCATGCTGGGCATCGCCACGCTGGCTGTCAAGCGGGTGAGTGGGCAGGGCAGGGCAGCACGCTGGGGACGGAGCACGGGGCACTGCAAGGAAGGAGTGGGGAATGCAAAGACATGGTACTGGGTAAAGTGCAAGCGTTGGGCCCTTAGGAACTCAAAACTATTCCTGGTAATGTTGGTTTAGATGTACGACCGGGCAATCAGTGCTCCCAGCAGCCCTACTCGCTTGAGCCAGTCGGGAAAGAGAAGCTGGGAAGAGCCAAACTGGCTGGGCTCCTCCTCACGCTTGCTGGCCCAGGACATGAAGACCAGCCTCAGCCGCTCCCTGCAGACTCTTCCCACTGATCCTTCAGCTGCTGACGCAGGTAAGGAGCACAGTCACACTCCTGTGGTACAGAACCATCCAGGCCCATAAATCCCATATTTGTTTAAAGGAATGCAGGAAAGAAAATACTCTTGTCTGTCCCAGGATTTTGACACTTTTCTTTTAAGCAGCTCCTCTGGTAACTTCAAGAATCAGAAGTCATGTTAGGAACTAGTGAATAATAATCATCTATTTGCATTCTTCATTTCTCTCGTGACTTTGTGTTGTCAAGCTTCGCTCTCTCTCTCTGGTTTTTAATTTTTCAGTCTGAATACTTTTCTGTGCAACCTTTCCTGATAAAAAAACATTCCATTCCTTTCAAGCTCTTTGTTGCCTTTCTTTGGGCTATTCCAGTTTGTTTGTTTCTTTTTAAGGGGGAAGTATTCCCATATGAATGTACTAGCAATTTATAAAAGCATTTCCTATATTATTTCTACCATTTTCCAAATAATTTTTGTAATAGCAGTTCCCTGTTTACTGCTGCTCATCACTGAGTTGGTCTTCATCAGGCTATGGAAAGTGTCCTGCAGTCTTCTTTCTGGGTGGGATAATAATAAATTTAGAGTCCAGTGGTGTTTGTTATATATTTAGTTGTTTTTTCTCAACAGTTTTACTTTCTATCCCTGGTCACTTCAAGAGATTTACACTTGAAGATTTAAACTAAAAATCAGAATCTAGCTTTTAGCTTAATTTTCAGATTCTCTGTGAGCAAGTCAGCTTCGGGACAGCAACAGATTTTCTGCTGAGGAAACATTAAATAATTGTTAAATGAGGCCTAGAAAATTTGATTGGAGTCCCCAAAGATAAGCATTGAAAAATAAAAACATTGATGGTGATGTCTTGCATTCTTAAATTAAAAGTAAAGTAAAATCCCTCACGGAAAAATAATTTTTTTCATGAACAGGCAATGAAATCCATTTCCCTGTGGTTTTGTGGGCTATTTCCTTTTCACAGGAAAGCTCAGATCTGTCCAAAAGAACCCAGTGGGACAAGAGGCAGCAGCTGCTGAGGTTGGGCAAGATGGATCTGTGTTCAGCTTGGTCAACATTCTACATATGTTGTGTGGCCAAACACCCATTGCCAAATGAGTCTGCAACAGCTGGTTGTCTTAGTGGGGCCACTGACTTGGGGGTTTTCTTCTGCAGCCTTTAATTACCACATCCCTTCCAAAAACCTCTTAGATCTGCAACTCCTCCTTAACTCTCGTGGTTAACTTCCAAAATTCTTGATCTGTACTAAGAGAAATCTACAAGACAGATGGGGAAGTCTTATTTCTCTGGGAAACTACTCAGAAGAAAAGGGTCTTAGAGCCTCTATGCAGGTCAGACGTTGCTTAATAACGCAGATGGCAGCGTAAAGCCTTGTGTAGCTGTACTCTGCCTCAGAGTGGGCTCTTGGCTCTTCAGCCAGTGAAGGTTTGAGGGAGATTTTCACTGGAGCTATGATTTCCTGAGCTAGGATGGCTCTAAGATCTGTCAGCTCATCATCCTGATAACTGCTGATCAGACTTCCAACAAATATTTAATTTCCAGGTGGCATGATCTTCTCTGATCTGTTACCCTGTCAGGACTGGCTTTTGCAGGTAATTTGTAATAGTCTCTTACAGAGTTAAAAACTCATTGAGATCGTGATGGTTGTTCAGGAGTGTTTTGTCCACTGGTCTGGCATCATATTAAAAGCTTCTGAACTGGTAGCAGCACTGAATTTCTGATGAAATTGAGCTGAGATACTGCCCACATGGCCATTAAAATTACTTCCTTGTACACGATATTAGTCTTATTCTGGTTAAATTCCAAATCTGGTAATTTGTTTTATCTGTTTTGATGCTTGTAGTACTAGCTTTTGATGTTTCTCAGCACCTCCCTTTTGACTGGTACCTGTGTAAAGCATGCAAAATGTCTTCTGAGAGCTTTTTGAGGCCTAGGAGGCTTCACTTCCACACTGCAGATTTCCCTCTGCGGATTGCTTCACGGTGAAATACTGCAGATGATCAACAGTTTTCCTTCTGTCTTGCAGACTTCTTTCAACCTACAAAGCCCAAGCCATCTGCCAGGAGGAGTCAAGTGGAGCTGAAAAAGGCCCGCCTTCGTCTGTCCCTGCAAGAAAAGCTCTTCGCCTATTACCGGAGAAAGGTGGCTATCCCAGCGGATGAGCAAGCCCGGGCCAAGCAGGCAGCCGTGGATATCTGTGCGGAGCTCCGCAGCTTCCTCCGTGCCAAGCTGCCGGACATGCCTCTGCGGGACATGTACCTCAGTGGCAGTCTCTACGATGACCTCCAGGTAATTCCTGGGCCCTGTGCTGGGTCCTTATTCAGAAGGCTGACTAAGCAGGAGCGTTTCAGGCTTCCCAGCTGGCAGTGCTGGCTCAGCGTAGCATTTCTCAGTAATAAGGCCCCAGAATAAGGTCGCCTTTCCCGCTGTGGAGCCGGGCGTTGATTTCTGCGGTGCTGTTTGAACCAGCATGACCAGGCTGCTCTGGTGTTGTCTGCTAAGCCTTTGCTCTTTGCTGGTTTTGCTGGTTTTTTTTTCACCACTTCTTTCCTTCTGCCTATCCTTTTAGCTGTGTTTTTCTTGCTGTTTCTCTGGTAGACCTCTGTTTTCTCTCTGTCCCTTCTGTATCTGTCCAAATACATGATATTCCCTTAGAACTCCTGTGTTATCATGTAGTTCTTCCCTACTCTTTTTTTTTTTTTTTTTAATGCATGACAGACTGTATTGGCCAGCAGTCCCTGCTGCAATGTCTCCCTGATGGCAAGATGCCCATAGCTATAGTGAGTGATTTAGAGGCACACTTCTTTGTATGAGTCAGAGCTCTGGAATGGAGTGTCAAGTGGCCAGTGAAACTTAAATCTGGGATCTTAATCACATTGGTGAAAAGGGATCTTTAATGACCTTTTTCCGAACAATGTGGCACACCAGGTGAGGGCAGTATACCTAGTTGTATCATGGCATCATTAAACCATGGCAACCTAAGCTTGTCTAGAAACTTAATACTTAATGCCTTGTGTTTTAAATTGTCATGTAGCGTTGCTGTGCCCTAGGCCAGCTGCATCTCACATCTAAGGAGCTGACTTAGGCAGCATATGAGGCAAAATGATTCATCTTAATGCAGTCCAAGTCAGGTCTTTAAATAGTACATACCACGTAAGCACTAGCTTGGGTTGTATTATTATATTATCCCACTGATAGTCCAAAATAGTCCTTCAGAATGCCTTTTAACAAAGGGAGGATGTGAATCCCACACAGAGAGGAGAATGAGACAGCTGAATCCTTATTCCATGTTCTTTCAGACAGAAGGCTAAACACGGTGTATAAAATGAGTGTGGCAAGAGAAAGCTTGTTCTTACCAACTTTTCTCTCTTGTGAAAGGTAGTGACAGCTGACCACATCCAGCTCATCGTGCCTCTGATGCTGGAGCAGAACCTGTGGTCGTGTATCCCTGGGGAGGACACTATCATGAACATTCCTGGCTTCTACTTGGTGCGTCGAGAAAACCCAGAGTACTTTCCCCGTGGGAGCAGCTACTGGGACCGCTGTGTGGTGGGAGGTTACCTTTCCCCCAAAACTGTAGCAGACACCTTTGAGAAAGTTGTAGCTGGCTCCATCAACTGGCCGGCAATTGGGAGTCTCTTGGACTATGTGATCCGTCCAGCAGCTCCCCCAGCAGATTTGACACTGGAAGTTCAATATGATCCAGATCGTCATCTTTTTATTGACTTTCTACCATCCCTGACGCTGGGTGACATCGTCCTTGTTGCCAAACCTCATCGATTGGCCCAGAATGACAATTTGTGGCGACTGAGCCTGCGGCCAGCAGAAACGGCTCGCCTCCGGGCCCTGGACCAAGGGGATTCTGGCTGCCGTTGCTTGTGCCTGAAGATCTTCAAAGCAGTATGCAAGTTAAACCCAGCTCTGGGTCACCTCACTGCCAGCCAGCTCACCAATGTCATCCTGCACCTATCCCAGGAGGAGTCTGACTGGTCCCAGGACATGCTGGCTGATCGCTTCTTGCAGGCACTGAAGGGGTTGATCCGCTACTTGGAGGCAGGTGTCCTCCCCAGTGCTCTGAACCCCAAGGTGAACTTGTTTTCAGAGCTCACCCCTGAAGAAGTGGATGAGTTGGGCTACACCCTCTACAGCTCTCTGTCAGAGCCAGAGGTCTTGCTGCAGACGTAATGGGGCCTTACCTAGGGAAGTGTTGATAGGGTTTAGCCAATGCAGACTTTGATTACTGCAAATTATGTCTCCTCCACTTCTCCCTATCTTCCTCTCTCTCCACCACTCCCTCCTTTTGGTTCATTAGCAATTCCTGCTGTGGAGTTGGTGCTCCCACTGAATTTCTTGGTGCTACTGGTCCATTTCCACCATCTCTGCCCCAACAGGTACCCATTGGCTAGGAAAGAGAGGCTAAAACTGCGGCTCTTAAGATCCTCACATAAATTCTGCTGAAGTGTCTACCAAAATATAAACCAAACTATGCACTTCTTTCCTCTGTAGTACACTTACTGCAGCGAGTCCATTTTGGTCTGAAGAAGGTGGAACTGGGCTGGTAAATCCATTGACAATTTTAGCAGTCTTGCAGTGAGGTCGTTCAATTTCCTCCAGCTTGACTTTGGCCCATGTTTTTTTTCTCTGCTGTCCCACACTGTCTCACTTTCCTTTCTTTTTTGTCCCTTTGACCCAGTCATGCAGGGCAGACTGAGTGAGATGTTTGGATAGGGTTGTGTTTTGTATTTCTGAGTGGATAATAATTACACTGGCAGTATTTAGGGCTGTAGAGCTTGGAATAGAATTTCCACAGCTCCTGCTCCTACCGAGCCTTCTCATCCTTTGCAAGGTGGGTTCAGGATTAAGGGCCAAGGCTTGTCCAGTCTGCTGCAGCACAACCTCCAGTATGGGCAATTCTCATCAAAGCTGTCATAGGGGAGGAAGAAACCTTTGTGGTCTGGCTGTGTGATGAGGCCAAAGGAGCAGGGCTTGCCATTCCTGCCTAGCCTGATCTGCTGGGAATGGCCTTGGGAGTGGAGAACAAGGCAGCTCCTTAGTTGTCTCTGGCGTAGGGGTGGGTTTTGGCGGAGAGGTGGGAAAGACACATATGAGAATGGGGATTGTTTTTTTTTCATCTTTTCCTCGGGAGCTTGTGGCTGTTCTGGTTTACAGGAGGTGGAAACAAGACTGCGTGCCTCAAAGGGCTTTGTGATAAGCACACACAAGCCAGATTCTCACCAGCTGTAAGTCTGTGAAGGTGATAGAACTGAACTGGTGTCATCAGCAAGGTTTTGTCCCTTACACTGGTACTAGGGTATATATACAGAGCTGGCATTTAGAGATGTATTAGCTTTGCCCTCTACTCTGTGTGTGTTTTAGACTCCTCCCCAGAACAGTGGCTGTCCATCCCCTCCTCATTCCTATGTGCTGACTTTCCAGTGCTCCCAATTTACAAATACTCTTAGAAAGCTGGTGAGGGCTCACCTTCTGCCCACTCCCGTTTATGGCTGTTTATGGCTGCTGTCAGGCCGTAGACTCTGTATACTCTGCTTTAAGCCATCCGGCCTGCTGTCTGCAAAAAGGGGGAGAGAGGGTGTCCCCCCGAGTCTGGGACCCTGTGTGTGTCTCAAAAGACCAGCATAGCTATCGTTACAGAAACATACTTGCCTTTTCCCAACTTTATCAGCTTTTTTCCCCCCTTGCTGTCCAGCCTCCTTAGCCAATGGAGAGGGCTACTGCAACATTAGGGCTTGGAGGGAGCAGGAATCCCTTTATCCTTTTCTCCTCCCTTCTTCTCAGGACTTCCCCCCTTCTATGACAGAGAAGTTTCAAGGTGAATTTCAGGAGCTGAACCACAGAGGGAAGTCTTTTGCCCTTTTTTTTTTTTTTTTTTTTTTTAGAGGCAGTGCTGGTGAGATGAGGGAGGGAGCATCTTTCTCGGACAATCCGTCCATTTTAGCCAGTGTGTGAGATACTATTCTGTAAACAGTGATAACACAACATTGCATTTTAAATTATTTAATCCTTAGGGTACTGGTATTTTCTAGACTGCCAGATGTGTACTTTGAAGTTTATGTGTGTATATAAAGCCTATAGTCTATCAAAGGTTAACAGAAATTCCATTTGTATGACTATGTGTTTTGTAAGTTTTGCAGCAGTCAGTGTTGGTCAACTGTTGATTGCTCTTCACTCTGGTTCCCAGATTTTTTTCCCCTCTTCCTTTCCTTGCCCTCCACTGCCTTTCTGATGTCAGCCTTCCTACCCTAAAAGCAGACAGATGAGACTTGGAGCTTATAGGCTATTGAGGGAAATTCCCCTTTTTTAATTACTTGAAGGTCGACAAAAATATTAAAATATCTGGGTTGTCAGGAGTTCCTCCAAAGTTCATTTCTTCAGCATGATGTCACTGCTCACTTGGTGCTGATTCCATTACCATAGTCTTCACACAGAATTGAGCAGCAGTATGGTTGGAAATGATCAAAACTCTAGATAAAAAAAAAAAAAGTCAGATATAAACAGGAGGACACCATGTCTGAGCTGGCTTGAGAACAGTTCTCACATACATATCTGTACATAGAATTTTTTACATGAAAGCTTTTACTTCTTCCTGGCAACCTAATGAATTAATATTTTATGGCCATTTTTTGCTGCTATTGAGCTCAATTTGTGTATCAAATCGAGACTGAAGCTGCCTTTTTGCCTTTTCTGTAGACTCTACTCAACTTCACTTGAATTCAATCACTTCCATCATTTCTTCCCTTCATTTTGCCCTCCTCTGAGCTATCCACAAGCCCGTTCTCAGGAGGCAAACACTCACTTCCCCACACGCAGCCACCACAGCAGGCAATAGCTGCCTCAGCAGTGACAGTCTCAACAAAGGCCAAAGACGTGATGGGTCACAGGGACACTGCAACTAGGAATCTTTTAAAAGCAGGGTCAGGCAGTAAGGGGCGGGGAAGAAGGTGTAGGGTAAGAATGCAGGAAACTTACAGTAATGCTGTACCCAGCCTATGGGTCAAACAGAATGTTGCAGAGTCTAACTGGCACCTTTCAGTATTAAATGCAGTGCACGTGTTTATGTACAGCCTGGGGGGCTGTCTTATCTATAGGTAGGCTCCTTCCTAGTCAAATCTGTAGCACAGAGCGGGAGAACCTAAAGCTGAATGTAAAAAGGGCAGCTCCAGGCCACCTTTCTGGCAGAGTGGCTCAGAGACAGATTGATTGTAAGAGACTCAGGGCATGTGTTGGGCTGGTTGCTGCCTGGGCTCCAAGAATGTCTTGGTGTGTTCTGCTATAGCTTAGCTCACACAAGCTTCCTGTGAGATTGTCGTCTTATTCCCTGTAACCACAGGATGAGGACCAACTTGCTCAGCTGTGGGGTTTCACTGTTGCTGAGCTCCACTGCTAATCCTTCAAGTCAGATGGATTTATTTTCCCCTGTTTAAAAGCAATTATGGAAACAGGAGGCTGCTTTCTGCCCCTCTGGAGAGGTACCATCAGGGCCCTCACTCTCAGTATGTGGGCAACTCGCAGTGAGAAATGAAGAGATGATGCCCCATCTCTCCCAGGCCTGGAGGCTGTGGATTTGCAAAGGGGAAAGTTCAAGTGCATGGTCTCTGACAGAGTGTGTGGAATTCTGAAATAAACTGACTTTCCACAGTAACCTGATTGTCTCTGGTGTGTTTATAAACAAAGGAGCATCTCTCTTTGCTTTCGTCTCTGTGCATCACCTTCATGCTGACATGACTCTGCACCTCACCAGTGCTTGGGGACTGACATGCCCCTTGCCAATTCACTTGCTTTCCCTTTGCAGCTCTGGGCATTCAACGCTTTGCAGCTTGTCCTGAGGGAGCAATCAGCTCGGTACTGCAGCATCCTGGCTCCTGGCAGCATTCGCACCAGTCACAAGATGATGTGCAATTACGGCGCTGCGCCTCCCATCCTTTCCCTGATAGCCCGCGTGCCCAGGCAGGCACCTGCTTTTCATGTGGCTCCCCAGACTTCAGAGGCTTCCGTGCCTCTGTAATATTAAACTTTCCTGTGCAGACTCCCCCGCCCTTGTTGAAATCACACCTTGGTTTTTATGTGCCAGTCCTCTGTCCTGCCAAATGCACTCCTCTTTTATCCAGGCATCAGCCTTGAGGCAGTGAGGAAACCTCTTTGCCAGGGGCCTGTGTCTGGTGTATTGAAGCTCTTTGCAGTAAAACTCAGTGCCTGTTTGGGAAGGTGTGGCAGAAATGTTGGACGTCAAATAAAGCATGAAGTGATGCTGCTTTTAATGGGTCCCAGGCTCCTTAATTCTGGGCAGATAAGCTACAGTGACAACATTGTCCTGTGAGACTTGTTTTAATGAGGACTCTAATTAACATTTAACTACTTCAGAAGATATTTTATGATACAAAGGGAATCTACATTTCTTTTTTTTTCCTGATACCCTTTGCTTGTGTTGTTTTGTTGTTTTTTTTTTCTTCAATCTGTCCCGTTGTAGAAACAGATCAGATGAGATCAAGCACGTTTCATGCCATACAGACTCTTACAGGAACATCTAAAATCAGCTGCCTGTGAAATCTGTGATAGGTATTAGCCACTCGAGTCAAAGCCTCTGGAATGCCTAGAGCCTACAATACATGCCTAATATATGCAGCGGTTTGCATCTTTGCATACAAGCTGTCCTGGCATGAATAGAGAGGAAAGATCAAAAGATAAGTGTTTGATTGATGGAGAGAAGAAATAATTGAGGGGAGTGATGGTGATTATTTCAAGTATGGAAAAAGTTGCCACAAAGAAGAAGAGCATAAACAGAACTCCAGGCTGCAAAGACTCGGAATCTCTTTTGTTCTTAGCCTAAGGAACAAGCAGTTTAGGAGGGAAGTGAATTTTGGAAAAAGCAAAATATTTTTCTCGCTTTGTTATATAACCACAGTCCTGTCCTGGATATTAATGAAGCTGAGCTTACATTTTACGAATTTATTTTTGCATCTCTTAATTTTAAAAATAAATAAATAAATTCCAGCCTGCCTATTTTGTAGCTAATCATAAGCTGGGGAGGAAAGGATGACTGAACCCCAAATTTGAGATTATCCTGCTAAAGTGTTGAATTGTATGATGAATGTTTACCTTTTTTTTTCCTAAATACTTAATCGCATCCATGTCTGTTTAAGCCTTATTTTAAGATTTTAAACTCCAGAAAAGCTGCAGACAGCTGCTGTTTTTTAAATTTAGTCTCATGGAAAAAAAGAGGAGCCTCTCCTAAATGAGGAGTTTCTCTTTCAGACAAGATAAAGTATGTTTGCCCACTACCTGCACTAGGTATGATTCAATGGCTCCAGCATGGCTCACTGAATCTTGGACTGGATTTTGAAATGCTGGGCTTTGCCCACAGATGAAGCAAGCAAGAAATGGGAAATTCTCCCTCCTTTCAGTGAAATCCATTATTGGCTTCCAGCCTTAGGAAAACTGCTGAAGTCTAGACATTTGGGGAGCTGTTTGAGGTATCTGGATTTTGTCGTCTTTATTCTTGTCAGGCTCAGTTATGATCTGAATTTATGATCTAAGGGATTCAAAAAATGTCCTCCCTCTCAGTTTTTTCTTTTTTTTTTTTTTTTTTTTTTTTTTTTTTTTTTTTTTTTTTTTTTTTTTTTTTTCTTTTTTTTTCAGATTCAACGCCTTCTTAAAATAGCTCTCATTTAACAAGTGTGTCCCCTACACAGTCAGGGATAGCACAGTCTAAAATTTTTACTAGCATAATCTGAGAAGGAGAGCATTATTCACAAGTTACAGAGCCAGAAATGTGGTGGTGAGCAGGCTATTCATACCTTTATAGTATGTGATCCAGTGGAATAATCTTGCAAATAGATAAGGCAAAAGAGGGCGATGAGACCAAAGGCAGGGAATATCTGAAATCATTCTGTAGATAGAAAGTGTTCTTGTCATTTTACGAAGAGCAGGAGAGTGGGAGACAAACTTCTCATGATCTCAAGCTCTCCTAAGTCCTCACGCAGAAGTGAGTTCTAAACAAAATCCCATTAAACATACTAAAAGCCAGATTTATTTTTATTTTGCTGCCCCTGTTCAATTTCCCTGGCTCCTGTGGCTAAGTAGTTCTTTTGATCTGTCTATTAACACTCAGTGCTAAGCTTCTCAGGGGAAATATATATGTATCTCAATGCTAGCCACATTCTTCATGAAAAGCCTTCTCCGCACAAATAATGGGCAAAAGTTGCTTGCTTGTGTTTTTGGTTTTGTTTCGGATTTTATTTTTTTAGGCAACAGTTCCTTCGGTTCAGTGCAAGTCCACCCCTTCCCCTGCCTCTTACTGTGGTAGAATTGTCACTGTTCCACAGAAGCATGGGGTGATATAGTGCCCCATAAGACATCCCACTACAATGATCTCAGTTCTGTAAGACTCTCCACTCAGCATTGCAAAGGACAGGCCTAACACACAACAGACATGAGGGCATAGATGGCAAATGATGGACTGTGTGGGCTCTTTACCTGTCCCATGACAGATGTTACTTAAAAACCCATAATGCCCTGGCGGGCTCCTTACCCCCTTTGAAAGGCAAGAAGCAATCATTCCTGGAAGCAGTATGGCAGAAAGACATTTTTGCCTTCAAAGTCTTGAATTTATTTAGCACAGAGTATTGTTACGTATGGCCTTAGAGACAATAACTACTGCCACTTACCTGATAATATAATGTGAGTCATGTTCAGCTGCTGATTGTTTACAGCAGCAGTGATACACTGTCAGAGGGTCTGAGATACACTGAAGCAAAGGTAGTACAAGACACAGCAGTCCCACAGGCTACAGAGCCACCGCTCCCAGGTTGCTTGTTAGAGAGTAAGCTGGCAGGGGCCCAGCTCTCTGGCATTCTCAGGGAGAGTGGTTTTTGCTGAAGCAAGAGTGCGAGCAAGGCACAGACCTCTTTTCCAAATCTCTGCCTGTGGTCATGAGAGAGACAGTAGAAAGCATCTAGTCCAGTGCCTTTCCTTGAACAATGAGTTAGTGTTTTGGGTTAGAAATATTTCTCCTCTCTCTTTTTTTTTTTTTTTTAATTATTATTTTCTTTCTTGCGTTAAAAAAAATTTAATAAAGTGTGATCTCCATCACTTTGCACTGCAAAGGAGGGTGCTTGGTGTCACCAGCAGACTGGTGGTTCCCAAGCTTTGTGTCCTGAGACAGATCAACCCTTTTGTGGCCGGATAGAGCCTATCTGAGACCTGTGTTTCTGACAAGTGCGTCCAAATCAGCCTCACTGAAATTGTGTGACTAAGGTGAATGGCTCAAATGCTACCTTCCTGAATAGCACCTGCGTTGCCTCAGAGCCAGAAGAGATGTGTCCCATCATTGCAATGCCAGGATAAGGCCAGTAGTGCCACTCCTTATCCAGCAGAGCTCATTTACTGTGGATGGTTCCTCAGACAGATTAGACAGATCTGGGGTTAGTCTCAAACCAGTTCTCTCAGTAGTCAAGCACAGAAACCTCCTCCTGTCATGAGAGCTGCAAACCTTCCTCACCAAGCACCACAGTAATAGCAGTAAGAGGGTCAGCGGGTTAAGAAGCCACAGCACTTACTCAATATGATACTTTGGCTGCAAAGTCTCTTTGGGGACCTTATCCAGCTTGCCCACGGCCAGCTGCCATGTAGTGCATCTGAGGATGCTCTACTGAGGCCACCCACAAACCCGTGTATGAGTGCAGGGAGGAGAACAGTCTCAGAGTCTTCGGAAAGAATATCCTTTCTGCCAGTGTTTGCCAAATCCTCTAACACAGAGAGCTTAGGAGGAAAAATTACATTCCTTCAGGAAAAAGCTATAAACTCAATGGTGTCACAACTGTGTCAAGATCCACCATGAGTTTGCCTCTCCCCCTTTGTAAACAAGTATATATTAAAACAGAACAAAGTCTTCTGGTAAATCACTGAGCAGCTGTTGCCTATGAAGAGTGGAAAATTATTACTGAGTAATGGCTGCTGTGTTCTTCCCCAGGGACTTGGGCAGCTACAGCCTCAACAGTGATTTATCCCCAGAAGAGTTTCAGAGCTTCATTTGAACTATCTGATTTATCAAATTTCTTGCTGAAGCTGCCTGCCAGCATTAGAATAAAAGAGATCTCATGCATACCCCAAAGATCCCCAGAACTCTGTTTTACTTCACTCATAGAGTATACCCACTCACAGTTTCTCTTCTTGGCCTCATCAAAACACTCTGAAGTGATGTGAAGTTAAAAACAAATGCCCAGATGGGCCACACAGAGCATAGTCTGGTATCATCAGCCTTTGATTGTGTGGCCCCCCCTCACTGAACACAAAGGATGAAATAGCTCAAATAACTTTTCCAGGTGAAGTTGCCAGTTTAGAGGCCAGGTTCAGGAGTGCAACTTCCACTGGGCTGATACAACAAGGAGTCCTCATGCTGTCAAGTCTAAGGGGCACTGACACAGTGAAAGAGAAACCCACTGAAGTGATGATGGGCTGTTAACTCACCCACTGGTGTCTGTGGCTGGCTGAGATGCTGCAGTCTCACAGTCCAAACCTGCTTGTCAGGCCTCAGCTCTTGCTAGCTTCACACTGCTAGAAAAGAATCAACATGCATTGTCACTCTCCTCTTCATCCTTCTGCACAAAATGGCACAAGACACCTGGCACGTGTGACTCCAGGAGC